AAGTGAAAGCAGGGAGGTTTAGGTTAGATATCAGGAAGAAATTCTTCCCGAAGAGGGTGGTGAGGCACCGGAACAGGTTGCCCAGAGAAGCTGTGGATGCCCCATCCCTGGGAGTGTTCAAGGCCAGGCTGGATGAGGCTTTGAGCAGCCTGGTCTAGTGGAAGGTGTCCCTTCTTATGGCAGAGGAGTTGGAACTAGATGGTCTTTAAGGTCCCTTCCAATCCAAACCATCCTATTATTCATTCTGTAACACTGGTGTTTTAAGTCGGTGCTGAGGCATGCTTGCACCAATTCAAGGACTTCTTCAGCTTTGACACTGCACCTGTGTTCCCAGCTTTCTCACTACAAGCAGTGGGGGACACACACACACAGAGTTCAAAGCAGTATTCATTCCATAGCATGTCATGTTCAGTACATGAGCTGGGGGGGAGGTGTGGGGGAGCCATAGCTCACTAGCTACCTTGTTAGCTTGCTCATTTGCTAGCTCACTTGCTCATTTAGCTCATTTGTTCGTTCATCAGATAGTGGGCTGGTGGGTCAGTTGGTTTTCTTGGTTGTGCTCTTGCACACAGAGTTCAAAGCAGTATTCATTCCATAGCATGTCATGTTCAGTACATGAGCTGGGGGGGAGGTGTGGGGGAGCCATAGCTCACTAGCTACCTTGTTAGCTTGCTCATTTGCTAGCTCACTTGCTCATTTAGCTCATTTGTTCGTTCATCAGATAGTGGGCTGGTGGGTCAGTTGGTTTTCTTGGTTGTGCTCTTGCATAGACTCTGCTGCAATCACTCTCTGGCTCTGGCTACTTGGGACCTGGATGTGTGTCAGTGGGTGGTAAGCAACTGTAACACCTGTTTTATTTTCATCTCATGTTATTAGTAGTGTTGTTAATATTATTAGTTTCACTATAATATTAATTTATATTCAATTATTAAATTGTTCTTATCTCAATTTTGTGAGTTTCCTTGTCTTTACATCTGATTCTCCTCCTCCACTGGAGAAGAGCGGAGGTGAGCAAGTGGCTTGTGTCGCACCTTATTGCTAGCTGAGGTTAAACCATGACAGACCTTTGTTAGCTTTAGCTATTGGTGAGAAACAGTCATCACAAGACGTATTTCACAACCAGGTAGTTCATCATTCCTGTCCTCTCAAAGACAGATCCTGTGCCTGCTACCAGTCTTCACAGTTCCCATTGCATAATAAAACTAAGGGCTGACCTTGCTGGCTGTAGAGGCACAGAAGCGGAACTTGAAGGTTAGTGGAGTGATTTTGTATTATATTTGAGATACCTAGGATACTATAGAGGGAGACACAGCCAGCCAGCCAGAATATACTACCTTAACACTACTGGTTGGAGCGATTTAAATGGCTTCCTAGAAACAATTTTTGACTTCTCAGAAACTTAAAATACCTCTCTATAAGAAGACTTTAAAAAAGAAGAAAAACAAAACCCCAAAAACGAGTGAAGCTACCCACAGGACATCCTGGACACAAGAACCAAGCAAGTATTTGCATCATCACATTCATCATACCATGAAGGCTTAAAACAGCAAGCTGAAATTAACCTGAGAAGAAACTGGTTTGAAGCTGTAGGTTCTAGGAGAGGGCATGAGGGAAATGAAAACCATTCTGGTCAGGGAGTAACTGGAGGGAGGACATAGGAGGAAGCACATCCACATAATATAAAGGACATGGCTATTTCCCAGAGGCTGTGAAATCCATGTTTACCACTTAAATCAATGGCCTTGTTTCCAACAGCAACTTGCAGCAGTTCCTTAAAATCTCCTCAACATTGAACTGCGTACAATTTAGCATCAAAAAAAGCAGGCACTTATTTGACTGCCTAATTTTAGGCATGCAATTTCTAGACCTTCTCATACCTATTTTAGGACCCAGAAGAAACATGAAACTTGGAACAACATCTTCCCAGACCTGTATGCTGCTGCTGATGCCACAGAGGAAATACACATTTCTTCCTGGGATATTTTCTCCTTTCCTCCATCAACAGTGATTCACAATATAAAATAAGAAACTCAGAGATAAATGCCAACTTCTCAGCTGTGACAAGTTTAGACAATACACCAAATATAAATGTCCTGGGTCTTGTTAAAAAAAACCCAAAACCAACAAAACCCAAAACAAAATCAAAAAACAACGCATCAGAACTAAAATTAAGCTCTGGATCAGCTCTTCCCAGGAGTTCAGGCAGTGTACAAATGCAGGGGTGTGGCTCATCTCTGAAATTAGCATGTGGAAAGCTATTTTTATAAGTATGGCAGTAGCCTAGATAACACAGCTAACAACTCATTTAGCTATTAGCTCCGTTTAAAAACAGACAGACAATTACTAATTATGCACAATCAAATCATACATGGTACCCTGAATATCCAGAGCCTATGTCCTTCACAATGTAAAGACTACTCCATGAAATGCTTCTGAACTGAATACTTTTTTTCTTGTACAACTTTACTCTTGCCATATTGATGCATAACACAAAGGAATTGTGTTGACAAAATTCCTGTTTGTTGACAAAACAAACAGCTTAGAAAAAAAAAGGACACACCTCCCCCTCCCCCCATTCTGTGCTGCCAAACTGTAGCAGTCTGGATCTGCAGCTGAGTTTATTTTGCATGCCTATTTACCCCTTGACTCTACAAACAGTGTGAAATTAGCTTTTGAAATGCACCTAATGCAGCAAAGGAAATCCTCAAAAGCTCAGCCAAATTTCTGACAACAGAAGGAGAGTTAAGGAAAGTGTGCCAAGCTCTTGTCAAGGAGTAGACGTCTTACCTTGGGTAAGCATTTCCAAAAAACTGTCTTAACAGCTGAACTCGTGCCAGATAGCCCAAGAGCGGGTATACAGTCATCATCTGGAACAGCATGAATATTCTTGCAACAAATGACATGATGTCATTGCTGGGAAAGTTATCTAGAAAATTCTAAACACAGGAATAATGTTACACTTATCAGTGGTGGCTTGATTACATTACATTACCTGCTGATTTTTAACAGCTGTGTGCAAGAAAGGGATAAAACCAAAGCACCTACAATTGCTAAATAAGCTCTGCAACATGAACTACCCTCTCCCTCTTTTATGATTGCCTTGCCACCAAATACCAACCAATTTCTGAATATTACAGAACTGATGTCAGCTTTCATCTTGGCATTAAAGATGGAATAATTTTCTAATCTTCTGAACATCTTCAAATAATCAAGACTGTGAAAGGACCACCTATATTTTCTTTTTTAGGTAGATGAATTAATATGGTCCTATTACCTGTCATATCACATCTAGATATTAAAAAGTTATTTAATCAGTAAAATTGGATCATATACAAATGAGGAAGGGGGATCATCTACTACAACTGGGAACATCTGAAAAAGTAGCATAAGACAAGTGTCATGAAATAAACAAATGGCTTCATAAGTAGTTAGGATAACTACAGAAAATAAATGGGAACAAATGTCATCTATTATTTAACTGTGGATTTCACCCCATCAAGTTATTTCAAATGGCTCAAAAAATCACTTAGTGGTGAAACTGTGGTACCAGTTCAAACTAACGTAAGGTCAGAGGAAGCCTTTAAATGCTGGTTTATTGCTAAGTATTATGCAAGACACATGGAACGCCTGGCATAAAATGGATTACCAATTGATAACTCCTATCTTCGGGGTAATTTAGGGTGTATAGCCTATAAGCAGATAAGAGTTTAATAGCCTTTACAGGGTGTTTCATGTGGTGCTATCAGCTGAAGAACTCTGCTGGCAAGGCTCACCACAGCGTTAAACCCACCCGTAGTGAGGGCTCCTATCTAAACGAGCTTGCGCTCATACTGTCTTTCTTCTTCTGGAGTACCTGAAACCAGTCCCAGTACATGGCACTGGTAACTGCTCACACAAACATAAACTCTTCAGGATTAAATAAGTTAAATAAAATAAAGCCTGAACTGTTCACTTTTCATTTTGGTCCTTTCTTCATTACTTTCACATTGCATTTATTAAATTCTTGGTTTTTTTACAGAACTACTGGCAACCAGACATGAACATAAATGAGACAATACAGGCATTACTCATCTGCTTGTGGTAGTGCCCATGAGATGTTAGCCAACTTATCAGAGTCAAGGGCAGATGTGTCTGCCAGGGTGAGTCATGAAGCAAGAAGCACTAGCAGTTCTTTTTTTAGTACATGTTTATTAAAAGATCAAGGACAAATATGTACTCCAGTAAAATATCTCACCTGTTCAATACATTCTTTGGATAGTGGTGGTGAAGGAAAAGATGCAAAAATTATCACTCCGACATACAGATATGTTAATCCCACCAGGAAGTATGCAATAGAGAGGTCTCTCACCTGAAGAAAAGAAGAATCTTATTCTGGCCAGCACTGACATACCAAAACAGGCAAAATAAAAGTCTCATGAGAAGATTTCTATTGCATTTATTACTGTCAATTTCATATTTATCACTGGTTTATATTTATTATTATTACTTTAAAGTTTTTACATTTCTTTCTGTTACTTGAATGGGTTCTTCAAATCTGGTCCTGCATCAGATCAGAAAGCTGCAAGAAGATACCCCAAAGTGGAGGTAGACAAGTATTATGTACCCATCTGGATGCAGAAAAGGCACCAAGAAACAGATAGGCCAATAGATGTATAGCATATTATTTCTGGGCACACAAACATAAACCAGTTATTAGAGCAAACAAACAAGAAACCCCCTCTACTTTCTTACATTCACCTTTACTAAGAGCCTCAAAGACAGAAAGCCCAGCCATGCCACATGTTAAGTTTCTTGTCAGGACTAAAACCTTACAATTAAAGACATCAGCCTACTCCACTGCAGATATAATGTAAAGGCTATTTTTTAAGAAGCTGCTTTGAAACCTGAGGAGATGATACACACACACTGGCTCCAAACCAGAAACTAATGTGTCCAGCTTCTGTTTGAGTGTCATGAAAATGGGAGACATTAAATGGGACACCATTAAATAAAAAAATACAAATAAAACAGAAGGGCATAAGTAGGCCTATATATACAGTATATGTTCTTTAGCTTTAGCATTTTATTTTATAATGACTCTTACATTTAAAATTGCCTATCTGCTTTATTAGTGAATTTCTATAGACACCCCAGGTAAATTCACTAGAAAACAGTTGAAGATTTTTAGGAGAGAATGCTGAAGCTAGGGTATTAAATCCATATTTTGCTGTATTACATATATCTAAATATGGATTTAAACCTTAACTTGTGTTCACTTCTGAAAATTTTGACTATTTATAAAGTATCTAATATATAAAAAACCTGTCAACTACATAAAAATAATTAAAAGTTTTTAGCAACATTTAGTATTGGAAAATAAGCAGTAAATTCATTCAAGCATTTTATGAAATTTCAGAATCCACATATACATCAGAGTGGCATCATAGCAATGTACTTAGTGGGTTATTCTACCTTAATTCCCTCTTTTTGGAATTGAAATCGGAGACCATTTATTTCTAATTATTAACTAACTATATTCTGTATAAGCTTATGCTACACTACAGAACACTCATTACCTAGCAAACCATTTGTTGAGTTGCTGCAAATAATCAGCTTCTTAAAGGATTACTAGTAATGCGTCAATACATGACTCTTTTCCTATGAATGAGAAGCAATTCTTATTAGCTCAGGCACAGCAAAATTAGTTAGGACTATATGGCTTCCAGGGCAGGATCACAATTACAGCCTTCTGCCAGCTCACCGAGCACAGGCAAAGCTTCCTCACATCTGTGCATGGAAATGTTCCCCTAAGTGTTTCCTCACACAATCTCCTTGACAAAAGAAGCATATCCTATACCTTTCGGAGGTCTTCTGACGGCAAGGTGGTCCCTGAGGAAGAGTATAAACTGCTAGGTTACAAGTTTCAGGAAGATTTCAGAAGGAAGCCAGCTTTTAGGGAGGGAACTGGAATCTCCTGCTCATTTTGCCAGCACTTTTGGGGTAGAAGATTGATGCCTTTTGCATCAGCCTTCAAGAGGTCAATGATATTTCTCATCAGACAACAATGTGCTGTTAAGGTGTACCCTGGGGTGGTCCCCATGCCCCTGGCAGCTGTACACTTCCAGCTGCAACCTCTTCCTCCTGCTGACCAGTTACATGCAGCTGGAACATGCTTCTCTGGCCTTCACGCTCCTTGCACTGGTCACTGGGTAAGGACTATGAACCTCCATAAGACGTTAAGCAATAACGCCCTTTCAATCATTCCCAGAGTTTCTCTTCAGTGATGTGAGAAGCTGTACTGTTTTTTGTACAGCAGCTGCAGCTTCAAAAGCACCAGCGCCTATCCTGAAAAGTGATTTTAGGAATACTAAACCTAAGCATCCATATTTCTTGCAGGTATTCATGAGTAACTTCCAATAACAGCAGGAGCCAGAGACTTATCAAGGTAAGGTGGTTTTGCAGAAAGACATAGGGGACTCTCACTTCTTGAAGACAGGATTCGCACAATTTTTCAAAACGCACCCAAGGCCACCTGAAGGCACATCAACTGGCAAAACTTGTTCTCGGTTCCTTTAAATTTGGTATTTCAGGGGTATTCCTCGTGCACAACGATAACACAGCAACTCGCAGTTGTTATTCATAACTCAGCCTACATGGACGCTCTAGAACCAACTGTAAAACTATTTTTGCTGTGACAAGTACTTGCTGTTGTGACGGCAAGCAATCCGAAACGAAATTCTTACAGCTTCCTCTGGACTACACTAGATTAACGGTTGACAGCTGGTGTGCTATTACCCCTGATCATACTAACCAGTTCACGTTCCTACAGTTCTTAAGGGTGTGTGCTTTAATCTGTACTGAAACTAAGTGCCGAGATAATTTTGATAATGTATTTTTATAGCATGTAACACAACAGACCCTTCCATTCAGCTGCTGTCACCACAGGAAGAATGCCCAGATTTTGATTTCCATAAGCAACAGGAGAAGAAATAAAGATATCTCAAACATCAGATTTTTTTTCCCCCTCCAACATCCATCAGCTCCCTTGCAAACATCTGTTTCTGCATAAGACGGCTACCTTTGTGCAAGAGCATGTGTTTGTGTATATATGGTTTTATTAACATTCACTACTCTTTGGGAGACCTAGGTTCACTCCCTAAAGACCTTGACTATAAATACTGCTTAGACAGCATAGTACCAGATAAAACCGAAGGACACATGGAGCGAGATAAAAGGATTAATTTTAAGTAACACAGCAATAATCACATTTGTCTATTTTAAATCTTATATTAAGATGTTTATATCCAGAATGGACATCACTGTGGTGGAAGCTGCCTCAGCATAAAGAATACAGCAGTCCTCACACCTAGAGTTTATAATCTAAGAATCAATTGTAGAAAAAATGATTGAAAGAAGGAAGTATTAGAGGGATCAGAGTGGAAGGGAACTATCAAAGATAAGATGCAGGTCACAGTCTGTAAGGACCACAGCTTGCCACCTGCCAAGCACTTGTCAAGTACACCTGAAGTAATAGGCAGATTTTGAGGTGGGACTTGGAGAATGTGCTAGCTGCAGTTACTGCTGACCAGGAGCTTTTTTGGTCAGATGCACAGAGCATCAGAGTTAAAAGTGCCTCTGGAGAACTAAAAATTGGGTGACTGTGGCTGGCAGCTGCAGTGGAATGAAGGTAGAAATCAGCCTCCTAACGAAAGGGTCAGCCTGACAAATCGGGTGTAGCTAACAAAGTACAAGATACTGTGTCACACTCACAGACTAGTCCAGCCTGCGCCTGGACCTGCAGCACAGGACTGGAGGCAGCACAGTGAAGGCTCTGTAGCGCTACAGATACTTCCTATGTCACACAGAAAAGAACAGGCAACTTCTAGGCCTTGCTTTCCCTGTTGCATGCCATGGAGAAGATAGTTCAATTTTCCCTCAGTACGACAGTGAAAGCTAGGTTGTAGAACTTCTTGTGGCTGGGTTTGTTTTCTACGCAATCCACATGCTGATAACTACATGTGGGCAGCAGTGGGAGATGGGAACAGGGAGCACAACTTTGAACTGCAAACTAGGAACCCTGCTCACGGGGCTTCTCCAGGCTGTGTTGCTGACATTTGGCTTACTCCAGTGCACCGCTC